CCCGATATTTACATATAAACTTAGTTTTCACGTTTATGCCGAGGAACGCGGATTCTACAAGCAGGAATAGCTTTAAGGCGATTTCTAAAAGAAATATTATGAACTAAAGCTTCTCTGTGTAAATAAAATATACCAGTAAATTTCTGCTACGAAATATATTTTACTGTTAAAGAAATGTAGAAATACTGAGAACTGAGACTAATTTTTACATAAGTTTGCGTAATTGGTGAGCACGCTGTTACGAAGGGGACGCTCAGAACAACAGAATGATACAAGAGCATGTTGCGTTGACAAAGGTTAGTCTTGTTGAAATCGTAAAATGTCTTAAGAAACTACCCAGAAAATCTCAGATGGCAAGCATCAATTAGTAAAAACATAAACTTCCTGACCAGTATGCATAACATCAATTTATTAAATACAATAAATATTTATAACATGGTAGGAGACATGACCGGGGAAGTACCACACTCATTCACATACAGAATACCAGCGCCAAATAGCAGCTTATTGCTGCTGTGTTTCGTATGGTGAATGTGTGAGAGCCGGAAACCCTTTTTACCGGCATTCTATCTTGGTCCTCAGAGGTGACAACGCATTTACGTTATGATTCTTAATTGAGAATACATGAAAAAGAATGCTTCTGTGGGCTACAGCATTCACTTACCATTAAGTGGACTATTTGCTCCGTTGTGATAAAAAAAATATGCATTATGCTAAATCATATCATGTCCGTATTGACAGAACACAAAGATCTACATAATTGTGCACAAATTACAATTCTCTTAAAATAAAAATTATAAGCACAATAATAAATGACAAAAATGTATTTTATGAATTTGAATGAAAGCTGTTCAACAGTTTTATTTAATTAAGCAGGCAGCCAGAATTTAGATTTTTTTATTTTATTTCCAGAGGAAAATGTCGTGTTGTGTTATAATTTAATTTAAAAAATAATTAGTGTTACTGGTTATGAAAATAATAACGGTGATTGTGATGGATTACTTATATCAAAGCAAAAGATCTTACTTACATATATATATATATATATATATATATATATATATATATCATGAACGTATTTAAGGTTATACCCATTTAGTAAATCTGAATCTGAATTCTATTTTGCTATATAATATAATATATTATACTAGCTGACCAGGCAGACGTTGTTTTGCTCTTTCTAAATACCCTTTGTCTAATAAATAAAAATCTTAAATTCGCAATTTAAAAATATTGATGGTCACTTAACGGGATAAAACTATACTATCTCTCAAGTTGGACCAAACCGCACACAGTGTGCAAAATTTCATTGAAATCAGTTCAGGAGTTTAGGAGTTCATCGCGGACAATCAATGTGACAAGAAATTTTTATATATAAAGATTTATGGAAAGTAATTAAATAATAGAACAGTTGGGCATTGTAAAAAGTTTTTTTCAATATTTTAGACGTTAATAAATTTAATTTGTTCATATCAACTTCTGAAAAAATTATCATATAGAGCCTGAGTGATTCTATACGTGGTAGAGCCATGCTGCAGCTATATTAGTAGTATAATTGTAGCACGAATGGGTCAGCTCGACCAGGGAAGGACCACGCTCTCACAGAATACCAGCGTAAAATAGCTTAACACTGCTGTGTTTCGTATGGTGAGTGTAGAGAACCGGAGACCCTTTTTACTGGAAAGAAGGCATTCCATCTTAGTCTTCACGGGTGACAACGCATTTGCATTTTGATTCGAATTGAGGATAGATGTAGATGTCTATAGGTTACATCAACCACTTACCATCAGGTGGACTGTGTGCTCGTTTGTCAACCTTATCCTATAAAAAATTCAACATTTTTCTTAAGCATAAGTTAAAAGATTATTAATTTAGAACATAGAATTATTTCGTAAACTAACAGATTACCGTGTAGTGGCGGTGTAAGAATATTTACTACTGCATATGTCTAGTGGGTCTCGTAAGAAGTGACAGAGGGAAACAAATCAGGAGATGGGCAGCAGCGTCTTTCTAATAACGACTAAAAATAAACAAACTGCGGTTGCAAACCCGCTTGACAAGCGTGGAAACTATGTCAAATATGGGGGAATGTAGGCAATTTATGGGGGATGCCTACGTTCATGAGTGGACTTTAATAGGTTGTGACGGTAACAGATTTCGGTCAGCCAGTTATTTTGAACAGTCTGAAAATAGTGCAACGCTGGATCGAGATTGGTCTAAGTTTTATTTTACATTTTTAAGAGAGCTTTAACGCGCTAAAACACACTTAGTTTCTTACAAGTTTAAAACGAGTGCAATTGTTGCAAAAAAATATTGAAAAAGATACACTAGGAGTTTGAAATAGTTATATTATTATAACAGTTATACATGACTATGTAGTCAGCTATTATTTACATTTATATTATAAACTTTAATTAATTTTAACACAACTGATGGCATCAGAGTAATTGACCTCAGCAATTTTAACGTTAGTACAATAGTACACTACGAGTTAAATAATATTTTGAAGTATGGTATCTAATAGCTATTGGGAGGCAGTCAGGAAACGCTATAGGCTATTTACCTTAGTCACGCACACATCAACACGAATTCTCATGTGTGCGTTCATGAATATTCGGGCAGCCGCCACCACCTCCGCGCAGATATCGCGCGTGGTGAAGCGGAAGAGACCTCCGACAAAGGATTGTGACAATGAACCCGACACGTTCCATAGGGTTGCTTTCTATTTTATCCCTTGTCCATAGTTACTTAATTTTTAATACCAAAGAAAAGATCCTTAATAAAGTTAATCCTTTCCCTCACAAAAAGCCTCACAATTGATGCCTTTCAATGTGTCTGAAATTAAGACAGTGAATGAGTTAAAATGAATCTTTGTCGTTTATTTTGTCTGCTAATATAGTTTTTGTATAATAAATGTCAATAAATTAGTGTTAAACATCTTATTTACGCTACTTCAAATTTATGAATTCCTTTCTATTATGATAAAAACGAAAAATTGATTAAAGTAAACTTATAAATAGTTAAATTGTTAGTGAAATTTATTTTAATATATGAAGTAATTGAAATAACAAGTTTTATATATAGCATGCCGCGTGGCAAAAATTTTGATTTTTATAAAATACTACGAATAATTTCGTATAATATACTTTATGTTCGAGCGCGGCTTTGCAACGAATAATTACGTATATTATATATTATATGTTTGCGTGCGAATACAAAGGGGCAGCCCTATCCGACGCCGCGTCCGACACACCCGCCCGGACACGTTTCAGGATCATGAATTATGGCGCGAGCCGATGTGACTTTTCAATTTGAAATCATCAACCTGGAATTAATTTCATTTTTGAAAAGCCATTATTTCTGTTATCTCCCGATGTTGTACAATATGCGAACGCTGCTTTATTGTTGTGACGAGAATATTTCGCGATGTCGCACTATTGGTTTAATACGAAGGTGCCGTTTTAATTTGGATTTCATTTTTACTTTTCAACTTTACAATGCGTTCGGTAATTGTTTTCGTAAATTAACTTTTACTTATGTTGCTAAAAATGATATAAATTTTGCTGTATGCTATTTTTTATTTTTATCTAAAATCGTTCAAGATTTAATACTGTTTTTTTTTCATAGAATAATGTTGAGAAACGAGCACACAGTCCACCTGATGATAAGCGCATGTTGTGGCCCATAGACATTTACATTTATCTTCGATTAAGTATTGAAATGCATATGTATTGTCACCCCTGAAGACTAAGATGGAAGGCCTGGTTTCTAGTAAAAAGAGTGTCCGATTCTCTACACTCTCCATACGAAACACAGCAGCATTAAGCTGCTATTTAGGCTGGTATTTTGTGGGAGCGTGGTTCTACCTCGATTGAGCCGACCCATTCGTGCTACAATCATAATATAGCTGCAACATGTCTCTACCACATACCTATAAATTGTGTTAGATTCTTGATCTAATTGACAATAATATATATACACGCTGCGAATAATTATCAGTTTATTACATTACCGTATAATAAAGTAAAATAACACTGGTCTAGCTTATCTTAAATTACGTGAATTTTCATTAGACTGATAAGTTTGTGATTAATAATAAATTACCCCAAAAGAAAAAATCTCTATATAATGTAAAGGTTCTAATACTTAGTGCTATTACAGTCTGTTGCTAGGATATTTTATAGAGTAACATTTGATCTTTTTTGAACTAACAAAAAAATAATTCATCAATATAGAGATATATATACAGTTAGTTATAACTTCCGGAGCGATCGCGTAACAATCGTCTCTTATTCACAAATCTGTCAGTGCTGGATACCCACATAGTCCCGAGGCAACTATTCATAGTGCTGCCGATCCCGCTCGCCACCGTTACCGGTGTTGACGAAAGCCGAGCCAAAATAGACGTCGCAACGATAAATTTTATTCAAAATAAAACTTGAAAGTTTATTTCTGAAAAAACACGCGTCGCGTTTTTGTTGTTATAATCGAGGGTGTTCGAAAAAAAAATATGTCGAGAATCGCCTAGTCACGGCCGTTGACCCGAAATTCCTTCTATTATTTACTGCTGTCTAATTTGAATTTTTATGTTGGATAAACGCATAGTGATGTGAGGATTGCGATACGCTCAGTATATCTCAATTTTCTATGTCTGCTAAACTTTATTCGATATCTAATTATAATAATGATTTTTCTGCCTACCACAGTTTGTCAACAAATACCAATGCGCAGTTTTTCCATTCGATATATAATAAGGTTTGCGATTAAACTAATAAAATTAATTGTGATACTTACTGTGTCTATGTAAAAGATGATCCCTACATCAGATTCAGTGCTATAAAAGCCTAAAACAAGAGACATAGAAACTATATGATATTCTATTAAACTTATGCTAAACCTGTATGACCTACCGATATGAAATTTTACATTACCAAAATACGTCGTGAAGGTACACTGAAATCCCTAAAGAGGAACCTTATAACAAAGCTAATATTAGACAATCATTTCCTGTCAAAAGGGAGGCGAAGCTTCCCACCCTGACGGACCGGGCGGGGAGGTTGGAATACCACCTCGTCTCTCCAGATTTCAGTCGCGGTGTTCGAGTGTGAATCTGAATTCTTATTTTTTGCTTCTACTGTGATGGATGGATTTTTAATATCCTCTTGCAGCAGAGACGAAAGTATTTTGATGGAAAACGTGTCTAACGACGTAAGCTCGGAGACGCTTTTTGCGCATCTTTACTTACCGATATAACTTACGTATATAACTTACGCGATACGATGCGTCATTTTTCTTTTCTAACTATGCATTTTACACGTGTTAACATTGTACAGTCCGGCCTAAATTAACACTTTTTAAAGGTAAAAAGTGGATTGAAGAATAACTGTCACCGTCACGTCAAAGTATAGCAAGGGCAGATCAACAAGACATCAGCATCCGAAGACGTCTCAATACACGATGGGCCTTAAGGTCGGCAAAAAACTTACCGTCCGTTCTCACAGCACGACTCTATTACAGCTCCGCCGCGAATAAATAAAACATGACGGGCCCTTCTCACGTATCTATATGCACATAGTTATATCAGGCCGTACATATGTAAGTGCTCGTGCGGATGTTACCAGATCTCGATTCGTTGTATCTGATTTGAAACGCTTTCTCTCGCTTCGATTTTAAATGTGTAGGAGTTGAAATCACGCGATATTTTTTTGTTAACATTGATTTCGGAATAACAACCAGACCGCATCGATTTTACGAAATAGTGTAAAATTCAGCTAAGTGCGTGTTTGATATTCACACACTATAACAAAAATGCTATACTTTAAATGCAGGAAAACGTACAAAACTGTCAGAATAAAGTAAGTTGCCGATTTCTTTATAGGTAACACAAAGGAAACAACACATATTAATGAGATAACGTCTCTATAAAGTTGGTGCAAATAAATGAATGTAATTAAAACGACAAAGCGAAAGAAAAATTTAACTTTACACCACAAATTCAGTAGTCATGTACTCGTATATGCTACATTATTACAAAAAGAAACGCAGCTTGGCTTTAGGTTATCGTGTGTGACCGCTTTAGTTTTACTTGCACGCGGAAATGTAGTAAAATTAGAAAGGCTGAATGACAGCTAAAAGAAAAATGGCGCCTACATGTATTCGTCTTATTGCCATTAAAATTTCTGGTATGTTAAGGCGCTCACTGTGTTTAAAAAACTTGACTGAGGTCTGCGTAACCCGCTTTATGTATGAGTTGTCTGGTTTTATAATCAATGACATGACTTCTAGCGCCTCTGGTGTGATACCCTGTTTTATTGTTTTATGTATGAGAAGCAGAGCTTTTATTCCTGTTCTAAGAATATTATTTTGTAAAATTGATTAACAAACCGGAGACCTCTTTTACTGGAAACGGGGCATTTCATCTTAGTCCTCAGGGGTGACAACGCATCTCTATTCTGATTCTTAATCGTGGATAAATGTAGATGTCTATAGACCACAGCATCCACTTACCATCAGGTGGACTGTGTATATGTATGACTGTGTGTTTTTCACCATTATTATATTAAAAAAAAAACTCTTTTTCTTTTATTACATTACTGTAAAGCAACGTAAAGCAGCATTGGTCCAGCTTATCTAAAATTGCATGGTTTGGAATAATGCTTATGGCAATCCTATATGTTAAATAAAGTTGTGATTAATAATAAATTGTCCCAGAAGAAGAAAACCTTTATAAAATGAAGACAAACGAACTTCGAACCACCTGATGGCTGATGCAGGTCATGATCACCTGCAAAATCTGTAATTATAAGGGCTCACTACAATATAACTAACAATATAACAGTCGGACCGGAACAGCAGGCACTGCTGCTTGATAGTGAAGAAGGAGAAGTACCTACGCAGATGGACTCCTTGGCAGAAGAGTAGTGTTTCATTTCTTCATTATATCAAAAACGTGAACGAGTTCATAACGCGTTTTTATTCATTTACTTATATATTTTATCGTCTCTATTAACATTACGCATGTTACACTGTGTGTGGCAGTCCGCATAGATGAGCTAATAGTTAGGCGACTCTTGCGCAGGCCACAATAAAAACATAATATGACGAGCAACGACGGTACATTAACGCGCTCGCCATACTTGGCACCACGATAGCTCCGCCCGCTGACGATTGGCACGCAACGCGACACATCAATAGAGCTGGATAAACAGGTATCTAATCATTTATCGATAGAAAAAATCAAAGCTCAGATCTCATGTGTGTATTGATGAATTAATTTTATGATTGATGCTATATAAATGTTGTGAAGTGTTGCTTTCTCACTGCATATATTGAGCTGTCAACTCTAAAACAGGAATACAGTAACATTAAATTATTAGATGACAAGATAACGTAATAAAAACTAATATAAATTATTAAAATAAATTCAATTTACCAAATTATGCAACAAAAAATGCAACTTAACAAAAAAATAACTTAAAAAAAATAACTGTTTGAATAAATAAATGCCTGACCCTGCAGCTCCTAAATCAATTAAAATTATGTAACTTATGTGAGGATATAAATTATTATGTTATGTAAAATGATATAACTGTTTATAAAAAACACATAGAATACAATTACTGTAGATCAGACTATTAAGAATTTTGTAGGTGCTCATTTTTGAATTTTGAACAACAAATAAATAAATACATATATGAATCACACACAAATTATTTTAAGAATGCACTCTAGAAATTCTCTAATCAAACTCTAAAACTTTTTCTCTACAAGAACTAATAGATTTTATAAGAAGTAATTACTTATACGCTTAATTTTTCAAAATTGAAAATGTAATGGCGGAGAGGACGTATATCGATTACAGTTTCATATTTCAAACTTCTCTATACGCAAATCGTTACAATTCGAAAACGTCGCAATGTTCTTTTTCTATTATAGTTTTTCGAATTTCAGTCGGAAGACAGATGGTAACACCGGCTGGGAATTTGTAATACAATGGCGGCCACAATCCCACAAGTGATCCCTGGCACGAGATGCGTGACAAGACGGCTGTTCCTTTACTTCAATACGCTTGGCACTCAATAATTTTCTTAGTTTCGTATCAGCGGAATAGACGATCAATTCAAAGGCGCTACTTTGAATTGATCGTAGCGAACTGGCTACCAAATAATTGAAATAAATAAAAGGCTGCAAATATTAAAACACAAAGCCAATTTAATATAATACGTTAATAACATCATGCCTATTATTTTATTACTAGATAAAAACAATTCGATATCATTCACAAGATTCGTTTTCAATACGTTCTTATACTTTGGAACTATTACTTCGCATAGAAATTAAAAAGTAGTAAATAAAACATAAAAACTTGTGACGCTTTTGATGATATACTCCGCGTTATTTTATGTTCCCTTTGTAAGTTTACAGTATCTCTACAAATGCGCTCTTGTATTTATTTTGTATGCAATACGATAGTGAAGTATCAGAGATGCAATCCATTACCCTTAACCGCGTAAAAGGAGCTGTTATGACAGCCCCATACAAGCGGTGGCACATTTTGTCAGTGGAGGATGTAGTGCACGGCGACGAATATTTATTTATTTATAACATTGAGGGGCTGTAAATTAGCGGTAAATTTACGGCGCGGCGGAGAACTGATCGCGCACGGTTTATTTTCGGCGCAGACGCATGATTTAAACAGTTCCCGGAGTGTAGCCGTTAGAAATTGAAGCCGAACTGGGATTTGTGGTCGAAGATGCGTTTATTGTGCATTTATATCGCTGAGGACTAATTAAAATCACGGACACACTCGTATTTGGTGGTTTCGAATGAGTAATGTGGAAGTTTTGAATGCGTGTTCTCTTTGTTTGACACTGTCTTTTAATTAGTGTGCGAAAATAATTAACGAATATAATTTCTTGTAAAAATAATCACAAAAAATCTTGTAACAGATTTCGAAATTCACTTCATATAAAATGGTGAATTATTAGCCTATATACTTCCCAATGCTGGGCTTAGGCCTCCTCTCATTTGATCAGATAAAACATCTAAGAGTACTTTGGAGATAATATTCCGTTTTTACTTTTCCAATCCGTGTTGATGTACTTCACACGTCCTTGAAATATTTAATATCTCAGACATACAGGTTTCCTCATGATGTTTCCCTTATCATCGAGCACGTAGTAAAACAGCACATAAAGTTGCAATTAACATTTCATTGGTGCTAGTGGGGATCGAATTAGGGTTGTTCACGTATTATGAGATCTATGGCAAGAGGTCGTGACTGCCCCTGTCCAGTCACGGCTCTTTCATCGCAAATAAAGTTACCACCAACTTATTACTTACTTAAGAACCAAAATATCAGTATATGAAATAATCTACATTATCATAAAACTAAACTTAGAAAGGAAAACTACAAAAGTTTCTTTTAGAATCTCCATATCTTCTCACTTTATTTGGTATTTAGATGTTTCGTCATTTGGATATCCAAATAATACATTTGGCAATACACCACTGATATCAGCGTTATATCTTAGTCACGAAAACATTATATTTACGCGCACTTAATATTATCTAACATACGTGACCTTAATCCTCTTTGATCTAGCTTTCGCTCGAGATATATGTGCTTCGACAGTTATGGTGAAATAAAATAATATCACTTGATATAACAAAATAAAGAAACGTATGCATACTATAGTATCATATTTATTACACTGACCGTTCCTTTTAACATAAACCTGATAAGCATATAATTCATAAATTAGTTAACACTTTAACAATCAATATTTGATTTTAAAAAAACTGTTCAAAATCTAATGCATCAGAACGTAATTCATTCAAAATTATCAAATGTAATTAATGAAACTAGATAGGTTCCCAAAATTAAAATAACACTTTTCCATACTTGGCAAATACCTCTGAACACTCTTTTTAGACACCGCAAAAATCGTGAAATTGTAACCAGCCAGTGCGTCATCTTTGCTTTTTCTCATCTTTTCTACCTTTTAATTTTTCTTCGTTTTTCAAAACCAGGTTAAAATCATAAGACGCTAGGTCAGTGTAATACAGTGGTTGAAATATCAAACACATTTATTTTGAGTTAAAAAGTCTGCGGAGCTGCGTCGTAGCGAATTCTAGATTTTGGTTGCATGTCACACCGATCTGATAATTCTTTTAGGGTATAAACTGTCATATGTTACTCGGTCTAGTACGACAATAGCAATATGAACCGTTTGTAGAAAAAGGAAGGGATCATTTTGTTTCTTTGCACCTAAAAAGCACCTTACATTTAAAAGTCGCTTGGTTTCCGATAGTAGTTATATAGTCATGTTTCATCGTCAGTTTTTTTTATAGGATAAGGGTGACAAACGAGCACACAGTCCTTCTGATGGTAAATGGTTGCTGTGGCCCACATACATCTACATTTGTCCTCAATTACGAATCAAAATGCAGATGCGTTGTCACCTGTGAGGACTAAGATGGAATGCCTCGTTTCCAGTAAAAAGGGTCTCCGGTTCTCTACACTCACCAAACGAAACACAGCAGCATTAAGCTGCTATTT